ACACACACACACACACACACACACACACACACACACACACACACACACACACATAGATGAAGAGACTGTGTAAGCAGGGCCTCTCCTCCACAACGTCCTTCACATTGTGGCTCCACAGACACCCACCCAACTCATCATCGAGGTACTCCTGCTGTCTAATCTCAAGATATAGTTCAGTTCAACAAACACATAGTCCCTGCTATGTGCCAGGGGCCACAATAGGCACTGGGGACCCTAGGGTGAGGAGGCTACTGAATTGGCAAGGAGCCAACCTCCAGGAGAGACGGATTCTCTGAAAAGGAATGTGGTGTGGGATGGAACATGCATTTACTGCCCCTTCCGAGCTCAAGGGGAAGCTCTCTCCCTCCACTTCCTCCGCTTTCTGTCTGCTGGCTGGTTCCAGGCCCCCAGGCTCCTGCTCTGGTCTCCAGAGCCCTCTTAAACCCGAATACAAGCATCTCATCAGCTTGTATATCCTGTTTGTATCTTTCCCCTTGAAAGACAAAGGCTTTTCATGAACTCTCCTCCCAGGAGACAGGAAAAAGAGTGGAAAAGACCCAGGCTCTGGGCTCTTGACCCCTCCCATTTTATCCTTTTTTTTCCCTTTTTTAAAAGGAGGGGCAGGCAGAAGAAAAGCAGTGTCTTTTAAAAGAAATTCCCCTGCTTCTAAGAATACCGGGAAATCCTGCCTGTTCAAGGCCTTCTACTCCAGAGCATTCCTGATGACCCTTTCCAGAGTGGGGGTCCTCACTGCAGGACATCTTACCTCCTTGGGTCTTCTCTGCAGCCGGCTCTCTGGAATGGCCCCTCTGGCTTGGGTTACCTCCCTAGCAGTTAGCTCAAAGCCCTGGGGGTTACTAGACAACCAGGTACCACCCTCCACTCCTAGGGAATTATTTGAGTGACAGCTCAGACACCGTATCTTAGTGCTGAACCTCAGTAGTGCTGCAGACACACCTCCTCAAGTCCCTCACTTCAAGAAAGGAATCAAGGCATCAGAGGGGTGCTAACTAGTTACACCCTCAGAAATCATCCACTTCATCCCCTCATTTCACAGAGGAGGGGACCAAGCCTCAGACAGCAGACGTGACTTGACTAAGGTCACAGAGCAGTCAAGTAACTGGGATTAGACTCTAGGTTTCTTTGTTGTTGTTTTTTGTTTTTGAGACGGAGTCTCACTCTATCGCCCAGGCTTGAGTGTAGTGGTGTGATCTTGGCTCACTACAACCTCTGCCTCCTGGGTTCAAGCAATTCTCCTGCTTCAGCCTCCTGAGTAGCTGGGATTACAGGTGCCCGCCACCACGCCTGGCTCATTTTTGTATTTTTAGTAGAGATGGGGTTTCACCATGTTTGCCAGGCTGGTCTCAAACTCCTGACTTCAAGTGATCCTCCCGCCTCCGCCTCCCAAAGCACTGGGATTACAGGTGTGAGCCACTGCCCTTGGCCTTTTTTTTTTTTTTTTTTGAGACGAAATCTTGCTGTGTTGCCCAGACTGGAGTGCAGTGGCATGCTCTCAGCTCACTGCAACCTCTGCCTCCTGGATTCAAGCGGTTCTCCCGCCTCAGCCTTCCGAGTAGCTGGGATTACAGACACCCGCCACCACACCTGGCTAATTTTTGCATTTTTGTAGAGACTGAGTTTCATCATGTTGGCCAAGTTGGTCTTGAACTCCTGACCTCAGGGGACCTGCCCGCCTTGGCCTTCCAAAGTGCTGTGATTACAGGCATGAGCCACTGCACCCAGCCAACTCTAGATTTTTTGATTCCGGTGATTAGCCTAGGGTCCCTTCCACTACACTGTGTGATTGCAAGACTTTGTTTTTGTTTTTGTTTTTTGAGACAGAGTCTTGCTCTGTCATCTAGGCTGGAGTGCAGTAACATGATCATAGCTCACTGCAGCCTCTACCTCCTGGGCTCAAGTGATCCTCCCACCTCAGCCTCCTGAGTAGCTG